TGTATGCTGGGGTGTGAGTGGGCCAAATGATCCTGGATCTTGGCTGGGTTTTCCTCTGATCCATGGATGGAGGAGGGTTTGGTACCTGTCAATACATTGCACTTTGCCCTAGATATCTCGTACCTAGCTTGCTGTTCTTGGGGAAATACTTGCCAAGGTACAAGCCCAGTCCAGTTCCATCTTGAATGATGCATATTTCTAGCTGCAAGACTCGAGCGAAAGAACCAATAACGGGCCAAAGTGGGGGGGAAAAGATCTAGAAGCATTTAAAGAATGGTAATGAGAGGTGTTTTTTTTAATGGGGATTCTTGTTCATGAAAAAGTTATTCTAAACAAGTTTAATTGGGCGCATGTCTGATCAAGTTCCATATTCAGGATTGTTATCGAGTCGGGTATAGATGCTTAATTAGTATTCTTGGTTTTTCACTGGGGGGAGAAATATCCGGGTCCTCTCCACACATACACTCCAGATCTCAAATGATAACTAGCTACCATGCCCTGTTGGTCTTTCGGCCGATCTAGGTTGCTTGTTGCAACATCGAGCGTGCTCGCATATTTATCACATACTTTGTCCACCCATTCCCAGTTATCTAGCCACCGAGCTACCCATGCTGAGGATATTTAGTCATTCATTATGAGCTAGGAGGGGAAGGGAAAAAAAACATGATCGACGAGAAAGACCCGACTAGTTTCCGCATTTATTTATATCTTATGCTTGTTCTAACTTTTTCTAATTTCCATCAGAGGTATGGACCCGATCATAGATCTATATACGCCCGGATATATATGTCGACCATACACCCTTCTAGTGGGGAAAACATGGACAATAATACCCAATAGGTAAGTTCCCGTTCCTCCACTGAGTTTTGATGGCTTGTTCTCCGAGTTGTCAGCCAAACAGCTTGGCAGGAACATTTTCCGCGCACCATGTCCAGGCACAACATATACGGAAAGCTAGTGTACATGTATGCATATGTATAGGCTCATTCTCTCATGCAATTACTGGAGCTGAGTTACTCTCTTCGTCTCTTAACTCCTCAGTCACAGTAACTCCCATGATTAGCAAACCCACCGGATAAGCAATGAACGACACACAGTAAAAAGAAATAAAAAGGGCAGGAAAAGAAAAAGAGGACTTGTGACAGCACTCCAACAAACTGTAACCTAACCGACATACATACATTCGTAACTTCTCCAGGTACTTTGAACTGCTGCTACTTTATAGATGCAGGTCACAAACACGAGAGGAAGAGCAGACAATGGATGCTTACCTTGTCCAACGCCCATTTGAGCTATTCTCGACTGACAGAAGCACAACACGGCTGAGTTGGCAGACGCGTACAAAAGAAAGAAAAGAAAAATAAAAACAGGCGGAAGTGGGCTCTGAATGTAAATTTATACGTTCTAATGCATACATTGGTAAAAGAAACGGCTTGCAGGTTAGTTGGGTAATGCTTACTGTCCAGAAATAAAACCATGTCACCCTTAAAGATCTAACTAATGCATAAGCATGCATTGACACATTTATGCTAATAGTTAAAGTCGTGGCTGTTAAACTTGCGCAACTAGCCAAAAGAAAAAATCATTGTCCAGTGACTAAAAGCTATTTTCATGAGCAATCGTTAGTTACCTTTTATATATATATATATATATATATATATTAGTAAGGAATCTTTATTATTAATTCTTTGTAACTCTTAAATATAGTTAGTAGTTTTTTCTCCTTTCTTAGAAAATTCCACAAATATATTTAGCTCTTCTATTTTTCTCAATATATATCACCAATGAAATGAAAAATAACTTTGTCGGCCAAGAGGTTTCCTGGCAGATGTTGCAGATGAGAAAAGGAAGAAAAATTAATGGCCGAGATGCATTCAATGGATGAAGGACAAGGTCTCAAGTGCTCAGGACTTCTCCGCTCTCCGCTCAGTGAGGCAGGATTACAAATTGGCAAAAGCAAATTGTTGGATCATTTTAGTTTATGATGGGTTGCAGCTTTTGCCCCATTTTGTCCTCACGGCTGGCTGTGATGGGCTGAGTGTGATGTGCGCTGGTCACTGGCCACAGAGAGAAAGGGGGTGGATATCAAAACCCTACCTATCACATTTATGTCGTGGGCAGGACAGGTGCGAGAAGTAAGAAAGGGCGGAGAAGAGCGAAGTTGTTTTAAGCTTCGTTACTATGTATTCCCATTGTTGACTGTGGAACAGTGGGTGCAAAATATAGAAAAGAAAGTGACGTTGGGAGAAATGACAGCAGAGGTGAGGTGGGAGGTGGGAGGTGGACGTTGGTGGGATGGGCGGGGAGAGATACCTAGGTGTCTGTTGTACGGAGTATGGAGAGTACATTTTAAGAAAAGAGTGAGGAATAAAGAACGAGGAGAGAGAAAGTTATCCTTTTGATACCCTCTCAAATCCAACGGTTCCTGGCATGCGTGCCTCTCACCCGTTGCTTAATAGGAGTCTGAATATAGTTTAGGTTGCATATTTATTCATGCGTGCATGTACCATACTAGTAGTACCAGAGGTACTTGGTTTACGGATGTAAGGGAAGAAAGGTTTGCTTGTACGAGATCACGGAACACAAGGACGATCCAAGATATCAGTCAAAGATGGGGAAAAGAGAAAAAGAAATGTGAAGAACGCAAAGGAATTTCATCCAGAAGCTGGAGCGATCCTAGAATATCCTGCTTGGTATATGCAGAGGTCAATTCCTTAAATAGACTGACTCATATTTACCTTCAAGGAAAGCGAACCGGTGGAATCTCGACGGTTAAATAATCTAGCAGAAGATTTTCTCCAGCTTTGAAGTTCTCAAGAAACTCTACCGCCGATTGTCAAACCAACATCACATACAGACACAGCTGGGGGCTCCTTTTACTGTAACACGATTGCATAAGTTGAATGACTAAGACGAGCTGACCTGGCTTGTGCAAAGTTGAACAGTCCAGATCGAAATCGGAATCACACGGGCTAGTTGTCATTGTCACCTATTTACCCCCTATTAACTACTTTTCCCCCAGAGCTGTTTGGGTAACTATGTACAATAGCACAAAGAAACAGTTCTAGGTTGACAACTAACAAATGTGACCTGCTTCACTTGTCGGGAAGCTTTCATCAAGAATAAAACCTATTATATTGTCAGAAAATGTTGAACATACTCCAATGCACTCCTCTCGTTTTTCGTTTCGTGTTCTTGGGTCAAAGACCCCTATTATCTGCCATCTTCCACAAATGGAGGGGCAGTAATGCCAGGTAAATAGGTGCCCCGGAGTGATCCGGAATTTCGGTGGTTCTGGACATCAATCGGAAGGTTAAATTTTAGCCATCATCCAGTCATACCTAGGAACTGAACCGAACTAACCAGGCTGTGGGTCTATGATTGATCTATCCTCTTGGTTGAGATTGAAGAAACTTACTACATATCTCTAACTCAGAACCATCCATTTATTTGGTATCCATGGATGAGTTGGGTAGTGTATCGACAAAATCCAAGGTGATTGGATTGAGCGGTGTACGGCATGCCTAGATGGACGAGTCGGTCGACTATATACCCAGAAAAAGGAACTTTGGAGGACATTGAGACACGGGACACAGAGTAGTGCTCAGAGCAGATATAAATTTCATTAAGAAGCAACAAATATTGAGGCAATCAGGTATCCAGCGGGCCCAGATACGAAACTCTAAAGAGGCCTAATTCAAAACTGGAAAAAAGGAGCAAACCTTCTTATCCCCTTTTTCACAACGGAATTGTGGCACAGCCAAATGTCTAAAGTGTGGTATGATTCATTCTGGTCAGAAAAATTGCATAAATGGGACTATGCATGTAAAGGAACTTTCGTAACCCAAGAAAAACCCCAATAACTAGCCTACAAATAACAAGCGTTGGGCAAACCGATGGGGGCCACTTGGGCGGGAGGAGAGTTAAAGGGAAACGGGGTCCAAGGACAAATGTCAATTGTATGATGTTCGTGACACGACACAGTTGCAACTGCATGCCAAGCACCGCACACCATCGCCACCAGACGTACAGGTAACAAGAGGACTGACAGGTGTTCAACGATCCGCGAATGGATGTCGAAAAGCAATCTGACTCCCAGCTACCGGTCTTGGCGGAGGGGAGAGAGATTTCCTGTAACCAGGAAAAGGCGGTGAAACGAGGGTGTTGGCAAAGACGGGGATTGTTGAATGTTATGATGCATTCCAAGGTTATGATGGATGCGTGTAAGGGCCAGGAGGGAAAGGGGAAAGGGGAGGAGAGAATGCGATGGGCAACAGGGGGGCGAAGGCGAGGGAAAGCATGTGATAGAAATCTTATATCTCATAACTACATCATAGACTTGCTTTTTGCATTTAATAGGTTGTCACTTCAAGAGGGAATATGACGGTGACATGTCACTATTTGCCTGGGCGTGTGCAGAGACAGTACCTTTCCGCAAACAGTACAAACCTATCTGAGTGGCTCGAGGTAAACCAGCATGAGGTGCGGGGCAGACCCACGTAAGTATCCATGGTTAGACGGACATCCACTGCATAATGGGAACATGTACCTGCATATAAAAATAATGTTATGGCCAACGCTTTTCTTTTCGTTTGGGGGTTTATCCCCTATAGACATATATATATCTTGGGTATATTCTGTAGTGGATATAGATACAGACCCAAGGATGCAAGCGTGAAGAACTCCAGCAAATGAGAACTTTCCTTCAGCGTCAGTGTAGATGACGTTTGATGTGCCCTCAAAATTGGAATTGCATTTAAATACTTGCGTTATTTAGGTGCGGCTACCTAGGCTATGATCTTGGCGAAAATTCAACTGGCAGCGCACGCATTGGCTAGTAAATAACAACTGAAGGCAACGATAAGCGAACTGTGAAAGGGTGCTGTGTTTTCATACGAAGACGGTAAGAAAATCGTAAATGGATAAGAACGTAAAATCTTCACATCCAAGAAGTACGTGCATATATGGACATCATACGTAATTCAAATGCTGTTTTCTCCCTAACTTCCCAAGACACCCACAACGGCACGCACCATAACAGCTGCTTCCCTCTCCCAATTCCCCACCACTATGGGCGACGCTGTCGAAGCCCCCAGTCTACTGATACTATTACTGGGTAACCTCGATCCTCGTAGAACACATTCCCTCAGTTCCTCACGCAATCGTTCTCGATTCGATCTCAACGTTCGCGAGGAAACACCTCCGCGATTGATGATCTCTTGAACTCGCGTTGTGAGGGACGAGGCTAGTGAGCGCCAGAAGTAGGAAGGGAGAGAGGATGTGTCGAGACATTGGAGTAATGGCTGGAGAAGGTTATTCTTGTTTTTTAAAGAGGCATGTGACTTGGATGTGTTGGTGGTATATGGGTCAATGGGATGGGCCGGGTGGTTATAGTAAAGGAAAGGATGGGCGGGAGGTTTGATGGTTTCGAGAAGGGCTTCCAAAGCCATAATGTTTTGACACCTCGCAGATGTCTCTTGGAGCGTCCGGTCGAGGGTTGGCAGCATCGAGAGTGATCGCGACAACGAAGCTAGCGATGAAATTAGAGATGTATGAATATAACCTTTCAAAGTTGCAAGCAGTAACTCTGGCTGGAATTCAGACACCAGAATCGACGTTCTTGGAGTTGGGGATAATAAATATAATGCGGTGATGGCGGACGCGATTCGGGACTTCGCCTCTTCGGCTTGCGCAAAAGTCGATGCCCTGGCAGATTGGAGCTGAGTCCCCGAACCACCAGCACCCGATGTTACACCACTCGTGTCAGTCGCTAAAGAGGAGAGCGAGAATCTATTGATAATTTGCGTTGCTCTTGCCTTAACCATGCTCTCAGCCGGTGTGACGAGATCACCTCTCAATGTCCTGATAACTTTAACCCGATCCAGCCCATAGCCTTCATCCCCATCTTCAGTAGTGATAAACATCCGCCGAAGCATCAGCAGTGTATTAGACGCTCGCACTAGTGCCCTGTGATCCTCTGTCCCTTGGGAGCCACTACTAAACGTCCCCGCGCCCCATGGACGACCAGTAAGCTCCAACATCTGGCCCTCCAGCTGCCTACCCAACACCAAGCACCTTCCCACAGCTCTCGCCAGTCTCACAGTCGCCCATGACCTTTCCGCAGCACCTCTAACCTCCTCCGCACTTTCCCACCGCTCCAAAACATCCTTCTCCAGCCTCTTATATCCCTCCCTCAGAGCAGAAACCTGCCCTTCAACAGCCTCCAAAACCCGCTGGCCAGCATCTGCCTGATCGCGGGTATGTGTGAGCAGAGGAAGTGCAGATTTCGTGGTCAATGTATGGATATGAGTGTCAATCTCTTGTATATCAAAGAGGACACGAGACAGTGGAGTGGATAGATCGAGTGGGGTGTCAGACAGATTGTTGGTGCTTGTGACAAGGGTGTTGGCGAAAGAAGTGGGGGAGAATGAGGGATCAAGGAAGGCTTCGTAGTCGATGTAGGAAGGTTCAGAGTCGGTCATCTTTTATATATAGGTCTGGTTTGTTCCTTTTTAGACAATTAGGGACGGTTGATCGTTTCTAGCTGGGGGTGGGGGAGGATTCATTCTGGAGGCGCAGAAAACAAAACCAGGCGCCGGCACCTGGTCACACAACTCTTGATAGACTGATGGAACCCGAAAGGAGTGAAAGAAAATAGATTTATACCTTAAGTATAAATAGCAAATGATGAGAGAAAGCAATGATGTAATATCAGAGCTGCAACAACTGCACCTGCGCGACTGATAGGACACTAGAATGAATCATACTGAGGCAGAGGAAAGAATGATACGCAGACTCTGAATGGAAGCGATGAGTGTCTTATAGATATAACTTATCAAATATTCATTGACAAGAATGGTCCTTGTTGTCAATGTAGTGAGGTTGGATCTGTGGACGAGGTCGGGGAGGAGGGTCACTTGATTATGTAGCTCTGGGAGAGTTTCCAAGGCTGGGGCGAATGGTGTCACGTGAAAAATACTCGGGCAGACTCTCCGATTTCGGTTTCAAGGTTTATGACGTCATCTCTCTAGTTCTACGGAACGCTTCAACTAATGTTAACTTTAATACAACGTAGGATTTTCACTTAAAACGCATACCCATTCTCAATTCTGCTGTCTCTTTGTACGGGGGTTTGATGACCTCTTCTCATGCGAAATTACAGTGATAATGTGGAGCTTCTCAGGCTTCCCTGTGCAGACTCTGTGCCTATTTTTTTTCGGCTTTATTCTGTTTCGCTTGGAAGCCAATTCTAACCTCAGTCTCTTTATTGGGTCTGGGTGTATGGCTTTGGCATTAATTCCCCACACATAACCTAGTATGCTGCGATGATTGCGGTGTTGAATTTTATACTGGTACTGGTCTCCAAACTTATTCATGAGATAAATATCTTCTCAAATCCAGCGCTTCGGTCGTGAGTACAGGCGATTAATTCTCCCACACCATGTATGAAGGCCTCGGTGTCCACCCGGAAACTACTGTGATATGGTGGACTTGGGGAGGGGTCTGGCGTTGTTAAGGATGAGATGTAGGTGTTGTTTGTCATTTTCCTTTTCACTGTCGATAGCCTGGTGTATCAATCGCTTCTCTTTATAACGCAGCACAGAAGGAATATTTCCTTTTTGTCGGGAAGGATGGATGCTCTAGTGTGTAGTTCAAAACTTCATTGCTCCTCCAAGCCTAGAGATATACCACTATGTTTAAATGGAGGTATGGAATCGGGCCACATAACCAATAAATGAATATTTAATCAGCAAGGGGGAAATAATAGTTAAAACACAAAAAAATGACTTGAGAAAAGAAATCTAGATGACTGAGCCTTCCACAATCCATGCACTGCTAATCGATGTAATGCCCAACATAATGCAAAGCAACAAAACAAAAGATATCATGAGCAATAGCGGGTATATATTGAGGAAACAGAGCAGAACAAAAGAAGGGAAGAAAAGTTTCATGTCCAATGAAGTCAGTAATAGCACAAAAGCTTGAAAAGCAGAAGGGAAACAGGAATGATAAAAAGAAAAGAAGAAAAAGGAAAGGAAATGATCAGACAGGATCGTCAACCCTCTCCTTCATTCCAACCATCTCATACTCCCCTCCGCCATCCCTATTCCTCCCACGTCCTCTGCCTCTCGAAAACCCAAAAATCCCACCACGGCCTTCTTCTTCCTCATCTCTGGGCGGATCCCCGTGGCCTGAATGACTGTTGTCACCACCACTAGGCGAGGAACCACTGGATGCTACGCCCCCTCCAAAAACGATGGGCTGCAGTTCCCTCCATTGGCAAGCCCACATACCCAGGAACGTCATAAGCGCAGAGCTGGCGATCTGTAGACCCCACCAAAGCCAGTTTGAGGGGACGGCGTGCGTGTACAGGGAGGTGATGCCTAAGTGTATGAAGTGAATTGTGATTGCGAAGTCAGGGATGAGTTTTGAGCGGGAGACCCATAGGAGGAGGAAGATGACGCTATTCGTACGCAAGATGGGGGGCTGGAGGTTAGTAAGAAGGCACAGGGAATAGCAGGAACATATATATATATGTATATGTATAAAAGGAGATAAAACTCACCCGGCGGCACTGTTAAGAAGCCAGACAAGCCCGAGTGTCCATCCTATCGTCGTATCGCCGCGGAGACTGCGCCAGGAGAGAATGAGATCTGGTGAAAAGGCAGTGCCGGCAACCAGAGCCGTGAAGAGGATTAGGATCGTAGCGCAGGCATAATAGGCAGCTTGGAGTGCGATGATCTTTTTCACGATCTTGAGTGGGGGGAAGTCAGAAAGAGCACCAGCTGGAGGAGGTTTGCGGCGACGTTGCATTGAAGCTGTCGATATATAGATGTGTGGAATGTTTTGTTATGGTGATGGGTGAGCGTGCGAAAGCGGCATTTCAGTCTGCGGCGTATATGAGGGTTATGGAAGAACAGTGCTCTATTTATAGGGGTTGACGGCTTTTATCTGCCGGACACAGGTACAGTATTGGGGGAATAGCTGTTTGAGTTGGTATGGTTTGTTGATTGCAATGGACACCAGAGGTTGCGGAGAAGACGGACAACCAGCCACGTGATCATGATCTTCATTCTCAGTAATATTATTGTTTGCTAACATCCACTCTCGTTTATATACTGCCCTATGGCAACCGACCCACGGGCTCTGCCGGTGTAGCAATACGCAACCCATTTTGCCTCATTTGTAAGATAGCTACTAGATAGGTAGTCGCCTACGGGCGTAGCTCTACCCGCCCTATGGTTCGACGCGGACTCTACTAGATCACGTGCCCTTAAGGCCGTGGACTAACCGGGCGTTAAATAAAAACACACACACACACACACTCTCTCTCTCTCTCTCGTTTATATAAAACATTATGTCATTAGTTTTATTAATTGTGAAAAGAATTGCTACGGCTAAAAGATATGGAGAAGTTTACAGGAGATGAACATGGCATCATGGATGCCCTTGATCAGAGATACACAAAGATCCAGGATCGCACTTATCCAGCACGACTACGACTGGGAGTGGATTTGGTGCCGCCAGAATGAAGATGGCCTAATCTCCTTCAGCGCATTGACAGCTGAGAGAGACGACAAGATTAATGCGCAGCAGAGACAGCCAGCAAGACAAGTAATTTATCGGCAAGGGCGAGATAACACTTGAGATGCGGGCTTCGCTCTTTGGGGAGCAAAGCCGTACATCGACAATGATGGGAAGTACTGCGAAAATAAAAGGATGAAGATGAGACGGAAAAGGAACAGTCATGATAATTAAATCATGAAAATATTGCCAAAACAAATACGCTTCGGCGGGTTCTTGAGCTCTTGTGCGCGCAGAATGGAATGGATGAAGCATACAGTTTGAGTGTTGCGATGTGATGTGGATGGTTGTTGTACCACCTGTTGCAACATGACCAATTAAACAGCCATTATCTGCATACTCGCATATTGTCAACAGCTCTTGATCTAAGGAAGTCTCGGTCGCATTCTTCAACTTGAGCGTACCACGACTGGGTTGCCTGCACCGGGATGTGATTAATGTGGCTTAGTGGAATGAGACGGTGATGCGTGGAAGTGCTCTCACTATGGGTGGCTCTTCTGAAGCGGTGTCCGACAGACCTGCTGGCTTCGCCTGCGCGATCGATACAACGGTTGAATCACCATCGCTCATCCCAGGCGACTGGGGAACGTTGAGGGCCCCCCATCGTCAAGGTCATCTATAGAAATTTTACAGATCACTCCAGATGAACAAGTGATTGGGCGAAGGGGGAATGCAACTCATGATGAAAATCTAGGAATTCTTTTGCATCCCCTGGACTTCCTGATGATCGACAATAAAACAAGCAACCTCATTCAGTGTGAAATGCGAAATCCGCGATGACTTTCCCCAAAGCTAGTTTCAAGGCAAAGTTGAGCTCAGCAGCCTGTTCTGGATCATCGAAGCACCTTCGACAACACATTTCATCCATGTCCATTCCATCGACCAGCATCTCTGCGGCGATGGCAGCAATGACTTCCTGTTTCTTAATATATGGGCGGCAGAGACTTGTAAAGAATGGTTCTAATGGTGGGAAGGGTAAGATGGCGACCTGGTCGGCTGAGAGGGAGTTGAACACCTCTTTTGATGTAATACTCCTTTGTGCCCTGATACTCGTGGGAAGAGATTATATGCTCTTCCAGCGAGTTGATAGTATACATCGGTAAAAGAACAATGAAGAAATTAGGCTCAGATGAGCCGAATTGAAAACGAAGAAATCCTTGGTTATATTCCGTGTCGATATTATAGTTGGTCTCATTTGTTTGTTCAAGTAGACATTTCTGAGCTCATCGATGTTACGAGCTGGAGACCATTTGTGGGGACACAAGAGTTTCAGGTCCTGTTTTGTTGACAGTAAGGAAATAGACAAATTAAATATCGCAAAGTCAAAACAACCATCAGACAGAGAGGTTACCCACATATAGTTACCACACATGATTGTGGTAGTTGAGAGCAATTTCACCAACTATAGTTTTCAGATAGATGTTGGTTCTCTGTAACAGTGCTATCACCATGCAGATATCTGCAAACCCTCTCCTGGCAGTTGGAGGGCAAGGACTGGTGGAGTGCGTGGAAGGTCATTCTCTGCCATAGTATGAGGGACTCTCTCATAAATTCCTAGTTACACGGGGCTCTCCCTCGAGAACAAGGGTTTAGCATCCCTGTACACCTAAACGATTGGATGGTTACAATGAAGTAGTGGGGCAGAGAAGTTTGGCTAACATATAGTTAAACCAGAGCCGAGTTAGGGGGTCCTTTTGGCCCAGCGGTTTACTTTGAATATCTTCTCTGAAATTTATGGTATATTTTTAAATATAAATCTAAATATCATCAATTTATTATCTTCACAAATATTCGACATGCAGTCGTCTGAAATTCCAAGTGAAGATAATGACTTAAGTGAAAAATTAATAAATATTCTAAAAAATAATATTTATTTAAGCTAATTATAACAGCTCTAAAATAACTAGTTAAACATTTATATAGAATGACAGATAACTAGTTACAGAAGATTTATAACCAAGAAGTTTCTCATTCTGTAAAGAGAAATAATATGAGAGATTATGTCTCTTAGGTTTTATATATTTTAATCTGACAGTTAAAAAGCCCTTATGGGAAACCCGTGACAACAATTAAAGGGATGAATCATTGGATATCGGGGTTTTTTTGAGTTGATTTGATTACTATTAGAAGATAGTCCGTATATGATGTTGAAAATGATGTATACAAAAAGATTTTCACCCAACTTCTCAGTAAGCAACTAAAGAACATTTCTTCTCATGCCCTTCTCTGAAGTGCCACAAAATGTTATATCGACATTTCCTGATGCGGTTTAGCCCCATCTTAGTTTTGGACGATGGTTAGGTACAAAGGAAGATTGGACGTGACAAAGGCTGTATTATTTATGAACACTGGACAGAATAGAAACGAGGAAAGTCAACGAGCAGAACAAAAATTAAGAATAAAAATAAAATAAAAATCCATTGACCACACCTGATTCGTTTATTGAGTCCATAGGATTTGAATATCAACCCTCGACATACCTCGTTTAACCCAATTGAACCGAAGAACCATGGGCTGGTTCTCCTCATCCTCCACACCCTCCACCTCCAAAGCCTCAGACGGCGGCTCCATAGCCCCCGACCGCTCCTCGCGACGACAATGCTACATCGCCCGAGACGTCTTCTTCGACTGTCTAGATGCAAATAACATAATTGACCCCGTCCGGGACGATAAAACTGCACGCGCCAAATGTCCAAGGGAAATAGTGGAATTTGAGAGCGCATGCTCGAAAACTTGGGTGCGTCACTTGGCCCTATTTTGCTTTTGTTTCTGCCTTGTAAACAACGGAGAATTGGAAGCTTTCATTTCTTTGTATTATCCCTCATGCTCTAAATTTATGGAACGAAAGGGAAAGGATAAAAGACTAACTTCTTTCTCTTCCTCTGAGTGGGGGGGGGCTGGCTTGTTTTGTGAACAGGTGAATTATTTCAAGGAGAAGCGCTTTATGGAATATAAACGGGATCAGACGATTGCGAAGATAAAAGCGGACGACGCTACGGCGGCCGCGGAGAGCAGGGCAGGGAAGTCGTAGACAGAAGAAACGGGGGCGGTGGGGGAGGTGTCTTGGGCTTCTGTGGGATCTCGGGATTATTGGCGATTCCATTCGAGTGATGTAGGTGATCGGGGACCAGACCGGGCCGGGGAAGGGGCTGGGTGGACGCCGTGGATAAATTTACTGTACACTATTATGATGGATTTCATGACTGTTGATATTCGCCTCAGTCGGGGTTGAAAAACATGTCTCCTTTCTCACTGCGACCGGTGTATATCTAGGCTAGTCACATTTTATATACCGTATGGATGGAAAAGAGGAAGAGGAAGAAGGTTCAGTTACACAATGGGATATGAAATTTGGGCTGGTTACTATACTTATGGGTTCTCTGGGTAGGCATTATATCAGTTATTTACATGGGCAGCACATGGTTGATATGTTTGATAGAGCAAAGAATTATAGCACCTCTGGTCGAATTTGGTTCCTGTGGAATTAACTTTAGGTTTATTCTGGATTCTGGATTTTGGGCTGGTGAACCGGGATGATGGAATGGGATGGGATAATATTGCCAAACGGCTAGCGAGCTGCATGGTTTGTTCATTACCGCAGTACATGGTTCTGGGAGCCTCTCCATACGGCGTTACACTGAACTGACAGAAAATAGCTAGGCAAGAAGAAGAAATTCATTATTGCTTCCACTTCATCAACTGGTCCATGATATTCTGAACATGTGGAGCCATCTGTGGCCTGAATGGTGCCATTGCCGGCGCCTGGGACTTCGGCGGTGGTGGGGGCTGAGGCAGTTGACTTGCTTCCTGTCCGCCTATAGTTTGTGCCAAAAGCGATGCCAAGGTTGTGTCACCTCCTGCACCAGGACGTAGCTGTGACTGCTGTGGAAAACCACATGTGGGCTGGGAAGCCTGGCCTGGGGTGTTTTTGGGAGGAGCAGACGGGTTTTGTTGGTGAGAGAGATTGCTCAGGATGCTAGCCAGGCCGGTTGGGCTTCTTTGTGGAGCGTATTGCTGCTGAGCCACCTGGAGTGCAGCGGGGTTCTGCTGCAGTGCAACGAGGAGAGATTGGAGGGCCGGGCCATCTAGATTCGAGATGAGGTTTGTAATGTTGCTGCTTGTGGCTAGGGGTGGCTGTAGCGGTTGATATCGAGTGGGGTTTGGTAATAGTTGGGAGATTACTGGTGGTACCTGAGTCGAAGGGTGTTTGGACGTGTTCGCAACAAAGATGGTTTGGGCTTGGAGAACCACCTCTGCGGCAATGTTCGGTTCGACTTCTGAGTATTCTGGGGGAAGAGAATCATTAGCACAGAATGAGACTACATGTGGTTAGGTTATTTTGTCGCAATTCTCACCATTAAACTTAACATTATCGCTTCCACCGCTGCGATCGAACACTTGCAATGGGATTTTCCCAGAATATTGATTTGTGCGAGATAGCTTGATGATCGCTAAGACGCCCTCGATGATCTGACGACGAACAACAGCAGCGAGTGATATCCGGGGACTGAGAATGAGCACATCCGTTCGCAAACCTCGGTCTTGGAACGAACTCTCGATATGATATATGAATTCCCTAGACAGCAACGACCTTAGAGTAAAGTCCAATGATACTAACACCAAACAGAAATCCATACCTATCGACATTCTCCAAGACAATAATCTGGACATCTGGCACTTGGCGCAAGGACCGCCTTGGTATGGGAAGATCTGAATCGTTCTCATAGCTTCTTTGTCTCGGACTTGGGCTTCTGTATCGTCCTGGGCGGCCGTAAGGAGATCTAGAGCGGTGCCTATCGCGGCGTCGGTCATATTTTTCTGGTGTTCTGTTGCGGAAGTGATATTCATCTCGACGATGGCCATGCGGTGATGGTGTGCGATTTGGACGGTAGTCGTCACGACGGCGATACTGGTCATCATGGCCTCTGAACTCCCTAAATGGCGGTGGTTTCCTGGATTCCGACGCCCTATCGTATCGATGGGGGCTACTTGGACGTTTGCCGCGGAGACTTGGCACACCCCGGGGATGGTCTGGCGATCTGGACCTTTTGGTAGCTTGGGTCCTCGATGAATCAGTGGCAGGCGCATGTCTCGTGGACTTTTGGGGTTTCGAGATTTCGAGGTCTAAACATGTGGTTAAACGGATTCACTTTGTTACAGAAGAAAACAAAGGAAAATTTCCAACAAGCACCCAAGGGAAACTAACGAATCTTCCGTCCTCTTATCAATCCCCCCTGTTCAGCTTCTAAAGCCTTGCGACACGCAGAAGGTTCCACGAATTGGACAAACCCGTATGCCTGTTTTATAGAGATCTGTGCAAGGTCACCATATTTATGAAAGAGATGAAAAAGATCCCGCTTGGTGACTCTCTCTGTTGGGAGATTACCTATTGGACGTTAATACGAATGTAGAAAATAAATACTCATTGAAGAAAGGAAAACAACTTACCAACAAACAGTCTCGACCCCGGCGGAAACCGATCCCACATCCCCTCAGTAACATAAACCCTTTCATAATGAAGAAACTCGTCATACTTCTTCTGAACATCAGGGCCCCACGGCTCCTCTCTATCACTATCACCGCGCAGAAACTTCAACCCCTCGTCATCCAGTCTCTCACCTCGTTGAAATTTTTGAATATCGGGTTTTGCTTGTGCACTAGATGAAGGGGGGAATTGATGTTGAAAAGTGGGTATGGAAGTGGGAGGCAATCCGTTCAATGCAGATGAGGTCCCAGGTGCAGCAGGAGGTGCAACAAGGGCAGGCAGCCCGCTAGATTGGAGATAATTACTTTGACCATACTGTGTGGTAGCCCCGTTTTCGGGCTGAGTGGGCAAGGGATGAAAGGGCTGGATATTATCAGTGGCAGTATAGTTTAGGTTGATGGAAGGCTTATCTTGGGGAGGTGGGCGGGGGGGAAGACCGGCAGAATGGAAAGTAGATGAGTCTGAGTTCAAAGGTTTGGTCATGTAATCATCAGTAGATGCCACGGTATTGGCAATGGCTGTGGGAGAAGATAGATGGCTATTTTTGGAATCAGATATGGTATTCAAGGAGCTCGGGTGGCTGGCATCTCCATCGGGCACAGTATTTGCCTCAGATTTAATGTTTCTACCATGGCGACCACTTAGAGTTGGGGTATGTTCAACGGTATTATTATTGAAGCCTCTCTCTTTCAGGTTCGACACATAATCGGCTCCTGGGAGTGTTGAGGGTGGGTAGGGTTTAGATGGGTAATTTTCGGACAGGATTAGGCGATCTAATTGAGGGGAGGTTTTAGGTATTGTAGAGGTAGAGGTGGCAGTGGCAGTATGAACGGCCCGTTCATGGTTCAGTTCAACAGTGGAGGTTTCACCAACGTGAGTTGCAGATTGACTCGAGGAAACCGGTCTATGAGCAGCGGAGAAAGTCGATTCATTTCCTGTTTCTGTTTTGTGATAACCCGTCTGTATTGATTCCGGAAAACTAACTGCGCCTTGATCTCCTACAGCATTTGGCCCTGAACCTCCAACAGCACGATGCAGCATAGTGTAAGTATGACTCGCAAGGTGGACCTGATCACTCATGATGCCACCATGCTCGGTGTCTGAAGAAGATGGCGTTTTCTCGCTAAACAGCTCCTGATACGCACCCGACTCACCGAAGGCCGGATCCATCTGATTCTGGAGTAGAGGGATATGAGAAGGTTCGGATATATAGAGAGGCCGTGGACTTTCGGGGGTTAGAGTCTTGCCACGGATGTGAAGCGCTTCATCGGGGATATTTGAAGTCATGTATGCGGCTAAATAAGCAGTAAGTAACAACAGGAATTTGCTATGAAGGCATCTGGAGAGTGAGCAGAACTAGTTATACTAGCTATACGAGGTCTGCAGACTGAGGTGCAGAATGAGGAGGGCAGCTGAAGTAGCAGATTCGCAAATCACAGGGACATGAAGAGCGCAAGTAAGAGGACATAGGGTCCGTTGGAATAATACTTAGAGAAAATCGGCTATCTGTGGTTCAGAGGGACTGGACGATGTCAGAGAGGATCAAGCGATGAATGGCTAACTGTGGCGAGCAGCAGTGGGGGGATATTATATTTAGTGTTGGTGCAAGGAGTAAAATGTGGTTGTACTTCGTCGCCTGGCGGTTCGGTGGTTGCGGCGGCGAAGCGTGTTGACATTGGCTGGAGCTGCCGTTTGCCCAGGTTCTGCTCTGGAATGAGAACTGCCAAGAACTGCAATTTCTTGGTCTGGGGCACATTGAGGGTGATTGTTGAACGGATCAATGACCGGAATATAGCTACATTTTGAAGAGAGATATGGACCAGAGATTGCATAGTACACGCTGCCTGACATTTTCGCCTATTTACAGTTGACTGATATGTTCCGATTCGCCTGCTGCTACCCCAGGATCGCCTTCGTTACTCATTCCTTTCTTCCAACGCCATACACACGGCAGCTTGCTTCCGGGCAAATTACCAGTTCTCAAGGGTTGACAGACGAAGAATTGAGCACGGCGCGAATTTGGCTGTCTGAGCTTACTCCAAGGACCATTCCAAGAAACATTGGTGATGTTTCTTATAGCAGGTCGAGTGGTCCTGGCGGTCAGAATGTGAACAAGTATGTATAACTACGCACCCAAGATTGGTTGACCTACACTATTTCTTCACTCTGGTCTTCCCGCACGAAGACTCAATTATCCAAATGCAAATCCAGGAAGGAAAACTAAATCTTCTTTTGGATAACTGTTATAGGGTGAACTCAAAAGCAACACTTAAAATCCCCGTCTCATCCATTCTGCCCATTGTGCCACGCGCGCTACACGCCAAGATCAAATCTTCACGTTACATGGCGGAACGCTCTGATTGCTTGGTAATACAATCGGATGAAACTCGCAAGCAGTCCAAAAATCTCGACCTTTGCTTTGAAAAAATTTATCAGTTGCTGGTCGCTGTGGGTAAGGCGGTCATTCCAGGCGAAACCTCCCAAGAACAGAAGAAAAGGGTGCAGGATCTGTATGTTCCCATCAACGTTCTCTGCCCTGTACCTAGGATTCCTCATGGATTTCATCTGAGAAGGATTATGGCTAAAGCACTATTTGCTGATTTTCCCAACAGCGAAAAAGCTAGTAAAGAAGCTAGATTACGAAAGAAGAAGGCTCATAGCATGAAGAAAAGAAGCCGGCGATCGACTGGCTACGATGATTGATGGTATCTGGCATTCACGATGGATGGGAACTGCAGAGAAATGGAAGATTTTGAAAAAATATCTGAAATTAATGCTAGGATGTTTAGCTCAAGGAGCTTTCGGCATTCCGTAATGTGGCTGCCATCACCTTATAGAGAGCTGGGTCGAGGCCCTCCGTGGCATTCAATGGTTGAAGCCACTGGATAACCTTCCTTGCAAGGCTTTTTTGGTTACCGGCATGGTTCCGACTCGTACACTCTTTTAGTCGACTGAGACTCGTACCGAATGCACGTGGGAATTGCGCAGAGGTTACTTCAATACCAGCAGTAGGGAAAATAACGTAACATATCTGCGCCCCAGGCTTTTCCGCATTGTTCTCCATCATCGATTCGACAATATGACCCAGCACCCTGCCCAGGCAAGGAGACTTTGTAAATTCAGCGACCATGGTGTAGAAGTCATGGGCAACACCAACATCGTTGCCAAATTGTCTCATAGCGGCATCAAAGACCGCAATGGGAATAGCCCCCGTCAGCGCAGGTGTTGCGTTGAGATTTTCAAGCGCAGCCTCGTCCACCCCATTATCTTCCCCAAGGCTTGGATTGATATCTTCCTCCGTCACAACAGGAAGCGCAATGACGTCCGCATTTGGATCTGTAATCGCATCATCAACGGCGGGTGCTTTCCTCGACCCATCCAATCCAAGAATCTGTTGCCTGGTGGCAATCTTCGTGATATATATCATCTCCAGCTTGGCATACTGCACCCAGAGCATCTTCGAACTCCTGCAAAACCTCAGTCCCCGCTGCATATAAGTGCGCGCCTGCGTCATGTCGCTGTGGTCCTCCAGCGCGTAGCGAGCTGCGTATATCCACAGCTCGACACAGGTCGGGTGTAGTCGTAGCGCATCCACTAAGATCTGTGCTAGCTTCTTATACGCTTTCTGCCGCCGGGCATATCCAATGTATTGCATCCATAAACTGATGTCGCCGTGGAATTTCTTCGTTGCACGGTCCAGGATGAAAAATACCCGTCTCTGTCCCGAGTGGGCGGCGGATGTGATGCCGAGTCTTTTTATCCGCTTTCGACGTAACGTATCTAAGTTCATTTCGTACTCGGCATATCGGGCGTAATCTGAAGGTTTGGGACCTGTAGCATTGATTCTGTGCTCGAAGTTGGATCTCCTTTTTAGGATGGCGGCAATTTCGTCCTAGATAGAAAAAAAAAATAGAATTTACGTCAACTATTGCATCTAGACTCTGGATGAATGTGAATGGGATATCGCTCCGTACCTTTGAAAATATCCTTTTCTTCTCATATTCTTTAAACTCCGGCACAAGCTGCTCCAAGTAGAAGCGGGCTTTGTCGCTTGCCGTAGCCATAGCTTTGTCAGAGTGGTAGACCCTGGACTTTATTATCCCGGAGGACTCTTTGCCCTCTCTCTTAACTCTCAATTATTCTTTGATTGTTGCTCTGGATCGGCAGCCGGAAAAACAACACACCCGTTAGCCGCAACTAGTCTAGCCCTTTTGGGACTAGGGTCAAAGATAACTTCCTTGGTTCACTTCCTCTTTCCCTACGTTAACTAACATAAGTGACAAACAACCAGCTCAGGGGCAGCCGTCCTCCTGTTTTCTTGTTTTTTTCTTTATTTTATTTTATTTTTTTTGTTTTTGATATTTCTTCTTCCTTTGTTTTGCTTTGCCCTTTGTTGACGCTCCTTATCTTACTTCAGCATCATTTTTAGTGATCTTCTCGTGCTGCCGCTGCTGCTGTACATGAAGTTGCTCTAGGCAAACAACCCCCCTCTCCCCCATTTTCGTTTGCTTCCTGCCTTCGCCATGGCACCCAAGTTCAGGGATGGAGATACCGTCATGTCTGTCAGTATACCCTACCCCACTGCAATTGGATATGCGCCGTGGCTAATACTGACATTTGTTGATTGTCCAGATCAATGGCAGATGGGTGTCTTGGGCGCATACCGTGGCCGCATATTCAGCTTTCATCGGAGCACTGATCGTTGGAATGTCCCTCCACTACCGCAAAATAGTCCAGAATGAACACTACGGATACCCGCAAGAATGGTTTCCCTCAGTATCGGCCACAATAGGTGATCGTTATCCCGAACGATCCATCTTTCAGCTTTTCATTGCGATCACTTCCGGCCCCCGGTTCGCCCTCGTTTTCCTCTGGTACCTCCTTACGGCTCGCCCGAACTCTTCACTTCCGACGTTCGTGGCTGGGACAGGTCTGTTCCGGACTCTGACATGTGGTGGTTGGACTTACATCACCTCAACGGATGATCATGATTGGCACGATATCTTCATGATTTCATACCTCATTGCTACCCTTCCGTGGACCTTGGGGTGTCTTGCCCTGAGTCCGAATAACCACCAGGCAGTAAAGTACCGGAAGATACTTGCCAGCCTCTTTTTCGGCACGCTTATCCCACTAATCTACTACTTCATTCAGCACAAAGTGCACAAGGTCCCTGGAGGTGAGAAACGTTTCTTTTCCACGTCAATTATCTACTTCCCACGAAAGTAAAATTCTAACATATCCTATAGCGTACACAAAATACTCCTTCTTTGAGTGGGCGCTTATCTTGTTTGATGTGGGATTTGACGCAGTCACGGCCCTCGACTTTGGCGCATTCGAAATTATAGTGAAAGATGTGAAAGGTGTCAGCAGAGGGTATGTTCACTGGCTTCCAAAATAGACAAAAAATATGTACATCGTTGTATTCGCCTGGAGCGATGGAGCTAGACGTCTAAGAAAATATATACAGAAGATCAAAGACTGCTGGAGAGGTTATCCTTGAAGAACAGTACGCCTAGCCTTCTTGTTTTTGTTTCTGTTTCTTTTTAACCTTTCCATTTTTTTTTCTTTCATATTAACCCACTGCAGAAAGGATAAACCTGTTGGTCGCACATTTGGTGAAGCATTTTTCTGGGCGGAAGCCATCGATGCGGCCGCTGATGTGTACAACGGCGTAAGATCAATATTTATAAGAGTATGTCCGCTTGATCAACGTCGCTGATTAGTTGTAGTTTGTCTTTTGGTCCATTCTGACCTCTCTCGGCGTTTTGGTTTGGTGTAAGTCCCTTGCCGCCGTATCTCTACCAGAACTTTTCCTGACATAGTGTTAGATTTTCCCTTGTGGCATATGGGTATCTCGGGTTATGAAGTCCTTGTCATGGTTACGATATCACCTTTCCTCTTATACATTCCAAGTTTCCGGTCTTTCGCAGTTCGCAATGTTCGCGTCATCCACCTCCTATCCCTCAGCGGGCTGCAGGCCTACCTTATCCAGCGGCCCGAATACCGCCTTTTCACCGTTGGATTTTCAGTCGCGATGAGCTGCTTGGCCTGGCCAACGACATGGTATGGCGAACGGTCGCAGCCTGCACGCCTTGAGGCCCGCGTAATGGCATGGGGTCTCGGCCTCGTTGCGTCAAGTGTAGCCAAGTTTGCCGCACGGACGAACAATCCAATTTGGCCAATTATGCATGCAGAAAACGGCGGGTGGAACAAAACCGCCTTCATTCTCTCCTTGTTCTCTGTTATTCGCTCCACTCGAAGGATTAACACTTCTGGCGACTTCTTGCCCCCTACAGGTAAAAGGGGATCTTCCCTGCTTGCCGCTGCGGGCCTGGGTGGGTTGTTCTTTGCCCTGCACTCTCTTCTCTCGGACTCGAGCACCATGATCCTCTGGGTGTGGGAAGGATACCCGGTCCGGGGTCCTATCGCAGTTCCACACGGAGTTTGTACAATCATTGCTATGGGCGCTGGTTTGCTACTTGGCGTTTTATATCCTCGTCTATCGGGGTCGTGGACTGCCTTTGGGATGGGCTCCGTTGGAGCTGCCATCCTGACAACCAATAGCCATTGGTTTGGTTACTATGGCGCTCTTATGCTTGCCATCTATCTGATGTCCGTTACTCCTGTGCTTATCACTTCCGCCGTCCAACATTCCCCCGCCCCTACCTTCGGTGTTGCTTTCCTTATCTACAATTTTATGGTTCTGTTCCACGTTTGGGTTGTTGCATATGCCTTCGTGCCTGGAGGCCCTCTTGTCAGGGAGCATACAGATTGGATCATGCTTACCACCATGCTTCTTATTGGTGCTGGCGTATTCTCTTCGATCATTTCGAATTCCTCAATCTCGCCGATGAAGAACAAACCGCTGAAGGGTAAACGTGCCATCTCCACTAACGGAAAGGTGCGCTCCTATTACATTTACGTTCTCATTGCCTTGCAAATGCTCTCCATTGCCATCGCATACCTCCGATTCCCTACGAACGACTACAGACCTTACCACAAGGAGGACAAAGTCGTAACCGCGGGAATCTGGACCGTCCATTTCTCCCTTGACAATGATATGTGGTCTTCCGAGAGACGAATGCGAGACGCCATCAAAGACCTGGAACTCGACGTCGTGGGTCTCCTCGAGTCTGACCTTCAGAGAATCATCATGGGTAATCGCGACACCACCCAATTCCTCGCCGAAGACCTGGGGATGTACGTGGACTACGGTCCCGGACCCAACAAGCACACCTGGGGCTGCGCCTTACTCTCTAAATTCCCTATTCTTAACTCAACACACCACCTCCTACCCTCCCCCGTCGGCGAGCTCGCCCCAGCCATCCACGCCACAATGGATATGTACGGAGAATTCGTAGACGTCGTTGTCTTCCACTCAGGCCAGGAAGAGGACCCCGAGGACCGGCGTCTCCAGTCTGAATACCTCTCGAAACTAATGGCTGACTCCCCCCGCCCGCTGATCCTGCTTAGTTACCTCGTGACGAAGCCTCTTGAGGGCAATTATAACACCTATGTCAGCGAGGCGAATGGGATGAAGGACATCGACCCGACCGATTGGGATCGGTGGTGCGAGTATATTCTGTACAGGGGCTTTAAGCGGACGGGATATGCTCGAGTCAGTCGGGGGACTATCACCGACACGGAGATTCAAGTATGCTTCTCTAATGTCCCATGTCTTCTCGCTACTCCCCCGGTCTTATATTAGTTATTTTTAGTTTTCTTCTTCTTCTTCTTCTTCTTCTTCTTCTTCTTGCTAACAAAATCGTCATTCTACTCAGGTGGGCAAGTTCGTCGTGGGTGAACCCGAAGATACATCCAACATCCGAATAGCAGAAGAACATGTACCCGCCGGACTACGATTCCCCACCCTCTTCCGCGGCCAAGGTGTCCGTGGACATCGATACCATGTGTTTGACGAACCGCGATACTTCGCCTAGATTTGGAGATTGGGTTGCTCTACATA